TTTAACAACATTTTAATAATAACGATTGCTCTTTTACAAGACACAAATATTTTTAACCCCACCTACCAACTTTTTGGTAGCTTGGCCTAAGTCCTGAAAAAGTGGTGAAGGGAAATATTTGTGTCCGCAACTCACGAGATTTGAGAAATGTGTTTGAGAAAAAAAACTCTGTACGCAACTAGAACTACGATAACGAAACTCGTGTCCGCAATTGTTATGTTACAATATTGACCTGAATAATTTCGTCCGCAACTATAGTATGTGTCCAATTAAATACATATTYCTTCTATATTATATCTGTATCTATATTATGATATAGATTTTAAAACCCGTAAATATAGATGTCAGAAAAAAATAATTTTAAAAATCGTTTTTTCTTGTGAAATAATTCCCAGATTTATCAGTATACTTACATGCTGGTATTATGTGATACAAACAAGGATTTTGCTGACGGCCGACTGCGTTGGTTGCCCGACAGCTGACCGTGTCCAGCACGATGGGTTTCTTGACGTGCGGCGCTCTGTCTATGTACTGTACTACGTCCGGAACGCCTACTGTCATGGCTGGCAGTACAAGCTCACCGACGGCCGTGTCGTTCCGCTGGTTGGGCAGCGCGGTGGTGACGTAGCTTCCGGTGGCCACCACGCTTGGCGATTGTTGCTGGTGCAGCTCACCGGTGGCCGTGGACGCCGAGCCCGGCCACACGAGCCACTCGAATTGAACACGTTCGTCRGCCGGGTCGGCTCTTACCCGGCAAACGATGTGGACGTTTTTTTCGTTGGCTTCCACGCCCACCAATTGCAGTTGATTTCCGTCATCCGCGCATACCGGAGCGTCTGCGATGAATTAAATAATTGTATTACCTAATTACCAATAATCTCGTGGGTTTAATACATGATAAGCATTCAAAATTTTTGGCTACTTTATATCAAACGATAGTATGTTTTCAGATATAGTATTATAACTTATAAGGCATCATTTAAGGAGAATGATAGCGTAGAATTTTCTRAAGCTATTTCACACTTTTCACACTTAATGGATGGGTATTTTTTAAGAAGTTGATATAATTTTATAAAGTGACTGAAATCCATAATGTTTGATTTGTGCCTACCCTAAATCTAGAGAATAACTTCAGCAACATAAAAAARGTAACATTAAAAAGTGATATTGTATAATTCATGTTCTAAAGTAAATTTTTTTAACGGATTTGAATATTTATTTTGTAGAAAGATGGTAAGTTTGCTTGTTGATCATTTTCGGGATCTTTKCAAGTGGCTAAAAGACTGGTTAAATTTTTTACACGTCACGTTTTAATCTCAACATTGAGGTGAACACATTTTGAAAAAAAATTTGAAATAGTGTCTGAAAATGGATTATACAAATATACGATTTATATATGTATAATATACCTCAAGATGTACATATGAATTCAATATTTTAACAGTTAGGTTTAAAATATATATATACATACCGACTCCGTTATAAAATTGATTTATTAAGAAACAGAGTGGTTTAAGGTTTTTTTTTAAATTTTAAACTTGATTGCAGTGATGCTGTCGTTCCTATAGAGTGAAGATAAAAAATTATTATTTTTATAACAGTTTTTAAACTTTAACTAGTTAGTTAATTTTCTTTATAGCTTAACCAGTTAGAGAATCTATTGTAAAACTAAGCTTTTTTCAGTTATTTTTTVAAGTAATCAGTTTGGTTAAAGTTCATAAGACTATAAAAAAAATTGAAAGTTCCTCACTCATTAAATGTGTGACCCGGATGGAATAATATAAAAAATTAATTTAATTATTTTTAACTGAGTAACCTATTATATTAATATTTTTACATAATAACTTCAAATTTTTATATATATTAACATAATATTACTTTTAGCTATTAATTTAGTTAGTTGTTTTCATCAATTTTCCTTCACCTGTTTGCTTGTAAAAATCATATCACTCAAAATTTGATAATCGTTAAAGAATAATGAACCAGTGTACTTGTTTATATAGTAGAGTAAAATTTATTATATTTTAATAGTTTCATTTGTCCACAAATGCATTTATGTGCACGTATTTATGTCGTATATTATAAAGTAATAAAACGAACAAATATTCCAAAAATCGAACTAAGCTCATATCTAATTTAATTTAATTCTTCGATGATGATCCAACAAGTTTACAACTACATTTTATAACAATTATCACGGATAAAACATAATTGCTTTATTTATAAAAAAAATCCTGGTTCAGAGCCAGGAAGTRGGTGCGATTTCWTCCACCATGCTTAAATCTTCCGATTTATCCTTCTTTCCTATATTATTATGTGGTATTATTTCATTGATGGTTCTAACTTGCGACCCGGTTTATTTCCGTAATACTCGGTGAATTATCATTTGATCTTTTATCGAAATATATGTATATATAAATACGTATGTAATATAAATGGTTTTTTATCGCCATTTACCGTTATATTTTTCAATAAACATAGATATAATACATATTATACAACATGATTTTACCACCRACGTCGGGAATACTAAAATTCTCTCACTCATTTGATTAAATGGGGCCTTTATTGTTAACCTACTCTAATCGTTTATATTGGAACATYTATAAAATCAATTCAAATTTTTAACCATTCTGATAATTTTTAAAAAGTAATTCATACATTTGATGTTATGRAAGGTAATGTTTTTTAAAATTATGCGGGTAAAATCAAAAAATTATGACTAGTGAGAGCTTTATGACTATTTCAAATTGAACTGTAAATTTATTTATTTTTTAATTTATTAAAATTTAAAAGATGAAAGTTCTGTGAAAATKTATCACATTCGCTATCAATTGAGAGAGTATCAGACATTGTAGTAGTATAAATTAAGTTTTTGATAAACTGATAATCAATATTATATTTTCTAGTAATTTTATAGGAAAAACACTTAAAAATATTCAAAAATTAACTTGTTTGATTGATTTAAATATTTTAATTGATCAAAGATAATTGTATGAGATTATATTTGAAATAATTATCATTTTAATTATAGAGTGCAATCGTGTTGAAGTCAATATGCCGTTTGAAAATATAGGCATGTACAATCATATCAAAAGTAGGTATATGTTGCTATGTATAATAAATGTTTTATACATTTTATACACTACTTCGTATATGCGTGTACCTGGCGGGTCTTTGAAATGTTTCAATAAATAATGTGTCTACAAAGATCTTGATTTAATTTTTTGTAATTCAATCGATAGATTTAGTGTATGCTTTACATATGTCTTATACTCATAGACTGCAGACCTTTCCTATATAGTAGTAAATAATGTATAGACATCAAACACATTATTATATAGAAATAGGATGTAGATTTTAATAATGTATATGTATAACATAGACGTGTGGATATCTGAATTTCAGGTCTTTGTGCCTCTATTTTATTAAGGACCTCAACCAAAAAGACACGTTACATTAATACATTATTATGATAATGTAAGCATTAATAAAATCAATTTTTATCCGGTTTTAAATAGCATGGTATTAATAGGTATTTTATAACATAATATAAAAAGTGAAAACCACCTTACTATGCAATAGGTGTTTAGAGGATGTACAACGGAAGTGATAAATTTTAATTTAATGATATAAAATCATTACGAAAAACAATTCTGACCGATCACGATCTATCAGTCTATAATATTACTAAGTATATTTTATGATAATCTTATGATTAGGTCAACTAAGTATTAGTAATACAATGTAGATTTTTTGCGAAAAAAATTGTATTTKAAAATATCATCGTGAATATACAAATTCAATATATTATGTGATATTACTATTACTTTGAAAGTTAGATTACGAATACTGTTAATAGTGTTTACAAATTATAATAAATTAACTTACATCGTTATCTTTCGTTTAAATATCTAATTTAAGATTAAATTTGAACATAAAATATCTATATAAAAAATTTTTATATATTTTTGTGTTTTTTCTGTTAAAATATAAAATACTTTTGAGGAACATTTTTAAATTTTCAATCTTCAACAATAAAAATTGAACATTTGATATCCTTTGATACACTTTAAACTAGAAGATAATTTACAAACTTTCGAGATTTTGATGCCGTTTTGTCAAATGATTTTAAAAAAGTCATGCTTTGAATCTTAAATATTTTTAATTATTAAAAAAATGGATGAGTAACCTAAAAGTAATAAAAAAATTTTCAAGACCCAACGATAAAAAATTAATCGACATTTTAGAAAAAAAGTCAATGTTTTTATAATGTTATCTATATAGCTCAAAAATCTTCAATATATTTTAAAATTGTATCATGTATAGTAAATTTTGTAAAATAACAATTTCATAATAATATCTATGATATTATTTGAATCGTATTTGAATTACGACAAAATAAGAAAATATTTTGATGAGAAATCATTAATTTATGGCTAAATGTCTAATATCAATAAATTTGAACTTCAAAAGTTTATAAAAAATTAATGCGACTTTCAGTAAATATTTTTTTATTAATGATAGAAAAATATATGAGRACATTTTCATTAAATTTCCAATTGTTGGATTCAAACATTTTTTTTTTTAAGAATTTCTTATCCAAAACAATATGCGAATTTTGTGATTTTACAAATTTTGTCAAAATTCTAATTTCTGACTCGTGAAAATKTTTGCTGATTCACACTAAACATTTTTTTTTTAGATCCATTAACAACYCATGAGAAAATTTCTCTTAAATGTTCACGTTTTTGAGAGAATATGTTTTATTGACATTAATAATTAAAAACTAATAAAAATTTTAAATTTTGTATGCCTACAATTAGCTCAAAAATAGAGTGAAAAAATTCTATAAATTTAATGACGTATTGAAAATACCTGTATAAATATTCAGTCAACATGCAAGTGTCTGCGAATACACTAAAAAACTAAATAAATCTTATCGAAATTGGTTTTACGTAAAAAGTCCCGTTTTTCCTTAATTTTTTGGTTTTGTTTTTCTCGACGTTTTTGAAAACTACCAATTGTTTTCTATTTTTACCTCCAAATGCACTAACTTGATTTTCCCACCAGAAAAAATTTACTCAAATTGAAAATTGAAGCATTATTTCGACTACTTATATAGTGTGTAAACAGACACAAATCTAAAAACACATATCATTGCAGTAAGATCAATACATTCGTCGCTCTGTTAAGAATCTAAAATGTATAATGACAGCCTATACATTACCAACTATTACTTAAATGTTTGATTCAAAGCTTATTTTTCTTTTATAAACGTACCTACTTAAAATGTTTATAGTTATTGGGCTGGTCATTATTATGTCCTATCCTGGCAAATACTGTAATAACGCCCCTGTGTTTGACTATGTTTATTCAATACATCAAAGCAAATCCAAACAGACATTTAAAGTTATTCCTTGTTATGTAAATAATATAATTAATTATTTCAAGTGGTTTTGGGTCATGGTATTGTGTTAAGAACAATTGTATTTACATGCAAATGTATAAACAGTTTTACGTTATAGGTATATATTATTATTTTTTTAAAGAATTTCAATTTTATTTGGTTATAGCTTAGGGGACTTAACTTTTCGTACACCAATGATATTATTTATGACTAAATAYTGAATAGAAATGACAGACTGTTTTCTATGAAATATAGGTATATAGATACTACGTCATATTCTGTTGATTTATGTATTAATTTTTTTCCCACATATCAATTAGTTTTAATATATATCTAATTATTTCAGAAACCTATATGCATGATATAATAATGTGTCTAAAATATTGTATTAATTTGTCTCCGTATTGTGTGATTTTTTTGCACGATTGCTTTTTTAGTTCTAAAAGCAGTACTCGAAATAATCGTCCACGTAAACAACAGCAAAGTTCCATATAATATAAAATGTAGTGATAGAAAATTCAAAAATGGTATAGATATATAGATCTTTTTGAAAAATTGCAAACAACGAAAATTTCAGAAATCACTTTCGAATAATAATATGATGTTTTTCATATAAATTTCACTAATTTATTACTATACACCGATACATGTTTTTGAAAACTAATGTCATATCAATATTATGTTGACTGATAATTTTACATCACGTCGTGCAGTTTCGGAATAAAATTATACGTCAACACATACAAATCAACATTGAATAAAAGTATGTGCTTATTATGTAAGTAAGTACCTACCTACGTCGCTATAGCTATGTATATGATACCTATATACTTATGATTCGAGATACAAATAGAATTTCGTCAGATCGAAAGCCCCGAATGTTTTTCAATTGCATATTATTCGAATCACGCATACTCAGAGACGTATTGGTACTTACATTGGACGCGGAGAGTGACCGGTCGCGACCGTCCCATTCCCAGGTCGTTATTACACTGACACGTATACCGACCGGAATGTCGGCGGCCCACGTTCCTTATGACCAAAGTGCCGGCGCTCAAAAGAACGACTTTGATTTCCGAGTCGATGCTGACGCTACCGTTGTTGCTGCCGCTTTGCAAGATTGGGTGACCCTGCAGCATATATACATACAAGATAAATATTATTGATAGACGTTTCGCTCACGTCGCCTTTGTCGGGTGCACTCACGTTGTGATACCATTCGATGCGATTACGTTGTTTTCCTTTGCTCCCGCTGCCATCCAACACTTTRCATTCGAAATACACGTCGTCTCCCGTTTTGATTCTACTCGGATCGAATGTGTGGCCCAAACTCAATTTAACTATAGGCGGATCTGTAAGTTTAGCATTTATTGTCATAACATTATTTTTAAACTTTCAACTATAGGTATCTATTAATGAACTAATCTCTCAACTCGCACGTTTTGAGCCGTGCAATTAACAGATTATATGCATTAATCGTAGGTGATTAATTTAATTCTTATATTTTGGGAACGACTTCTGTATTAGGTTTCTTAATTATTGCATTATTCTCCATAGTTTCCCGTCAACATTTATATATAAAATATAATTTCACTAATTAATACGTCAATTTCAATTTCGTATCGAGAACCATGGATATTTTTTATTACTTCGGAAAATAATTAAAATGTCGTTTCATGGTTTTCAATATAACTTAAARTTGGTACACACGTTAAGTTACACATTAAATATCCACTCATATTATACGTCTAATATAAATACAGGAAACATTTATCAAAGAACCATCAGTGGTTTGGATCGTAGAAATCATAATAAAACGTTTCCGAAGGTATATAATCGATAGTTTACTTTTAAGATGAATCGTAAAAATAATAGTAAATCAAACACGATATAGATATAGGTACCGTGATTTACAAAGTCTATAATAAATTGGCACACGTTATGTGCGGACTAGAGTGAAAACACAATATTAAAACGGTGATTATAACTACGACGACAAGGTGTTTAATAAGTTTTACTTACATTGAACGTTAAGCAATAAAGCTTTATTTTTAATATTATCTTTCGTGGTATTAATGTCAGGATTCCAAGCTCGGCATCGTAAATATCGACCATCGTCACTCGGCGTAGGCCTCAATCGTATCCTACTGCTATGTTCGGTTTGCTAAATAACAAAGACGAATAAAATAAAAATAATGACAAGGTGTACATGTATGTAAGATTTTTGAATGCATATTGCATATATCATATAAATCATATAATATACCTATATTATGAAAACAAAAAAAATTGCAATCAACCCTGATCAATCGTCTTGTGGTTCAATTCAATTAAAAATAAAAMTAAACATTATGGTAATAAGTTCAACGAATAATAACGCGTGTGACAAAAAATTGTGACTTAATTAACTAAACATTCGACTTAACATGATACAATTTGGTAATAATCACTCACTTCAATTACTGTCATACGAGTTGTAGTTGGAGAAGAAGGTATTTCGTCAGCTAAGGTGCCGTTTCCATCAATGGACCATTCTATCGTAGCCTTAGGACTCGCACCCTCAGCCCAGCATTCGCCTGTATACCACTTACCAGATATAAGATTTGTTGCTTGTACAAATCCGTCATTATTACTGTCTTCGTTATAATTAACTATGTTCTCTGATTCGTCTATTGGATGTATGCCGACAATACGTACACTTTTCACATTCACTACAAGGAAAAAATACGTATTTAAAAAAAAAAACTATTTTTAATAATTATGTGAATATTAACGAAAAATTCAAGTCTCGAGATCGTTATTAATTTTATAATTACAAKTTATAGCAAAAAACAAAATAAATGTTGGTCTAAAACTAGTTTTTGCATAAAATACCCGGAATCTCATGCTTTTTTACAGAATAGATTTAACGTCTTAAGTATTGAAAATTGTTTTGACTTTATTGAAAAATCAATTAAGTTAGAATGTTAATTTAGTATTTGATTATAAATGTAAAAATATCTATATATAACATGATAATTAATATTATTTATCTAGCGTACAATGTGTACATACGATACCTACATATGAAGAAAGTTTCTAGCATGGATTTAAAATCAGAACTGTTATTTATTAATGTTACATATATAAAAAAACATTTGTTTTTATAATAATTTAATGTTTTAAATTTATATATATACTTATATTTTTTAAGTGAAAATATCCCAAAAATAAAAACATGAACATAAAAAAAATTATAAAAATAGTATATAATTTGACATAATTTTATAAATAGAAATTTTTTTAAAGTGAGATATTCATACTATAAAACAATCAATTGTGGGTTTTGACATGTAAGTATTTTATATTGTACATTTTGAGATTAAATTATAATTTTAATTATTATATTCACCGATTGTTGRTTGACTATAATATACGTTGTAAGTTATATGAAATACTTACGGTACATGTTTATCAGCACTGTCATTCGGAGATTTGATTGCATGGTGTTGTCGTCGTTTCCTGCCAGACACGTATAAGTACTATTAGCATGGTTTCGATTCAACTGATGAATCACAAGACTTTTGGTAGTTATTTCTTCGTCGTCATTTTCGTTTCCGTAAGATACTTCCTCTATCAGATCCATGATTTTTCTCGTACCGAGCGACGATGTGACTTTGCCGTYCACGGAGTACCACTGCACCCGTGGCTTGGGTTTACCTATAAAATAAGTTAGTTCACTAATATAGATGATTTTATAATGGAGGGGGGGGGAGAAATAGTACATTTTCTTTGAATTCGATTTCCGGGCATGTACATTAAAAAAAAAGGTGTACGTATAAGTGCTTGTGTATAGGTATACCGAACGCTTTTTCGTACAAATGAAATCKAATAACGTAAATAAATCGTTATTTGGATTAGGTATAATATGTGTCACACATTCAATGAATCGACATTAAGACGTGTACAAATCGGGCTCATTACAATATGTCCCATCATTAAACTGTCACGTAATCTACATTCTACAGTATACCTACTCATCGTGTTAGGTTACAACATAGGTAACAACATATTTAAATATTGTAAATACGCCGAWTTCTCGTTCGTGAAGGCGGTGGGCGTAGAGGTTAAATATAAGTATATTATCGATATTGACATGTCAAGTAACCGAACAAAGCGTATACAATAATAATTCGTCAACAAACCGACATAATATCAACCATTTTTATATGCCAGAATCCATCGACAAATCGTATTCTTAAAACAACGTCGAACATGCTGTAAGCCTGTACCAGACATAAGTTGTACAACAATAATTCTTCATGCGTCTGCGTCTATCGCGTTACCACTATAGACGATCAGTCTTTGCACAAATGCATGTTGTTATTTWTTTTATTTWTTTTTTTACAGATCTCACATTGTARTTTGTTTATTCGCTATTATTATATTATTRACTATAGCTGACCTCGTACAYTTCGTTGCCCTTAAAAAATGATGGCCCTTTAAAAAATTGTGATTGTTCAAATCTTTTTGAATGTAACTCTCAGCAGTTATAGTATATTTATACATTAGTCATCAGTATACAACTCAGAGTACTTACTAATTTCTACTAATTATTTCTCATATAGTTATTAATAATAAATAAAAATAGAAATATAATTATATAATTATGTTGATAAAACAAAGGGTGATGTGTCATCCCTCCTTAATTATTATTTTCATAATTTAATCGCCCTTATTTGGAGTAAAAATTTATGAATTACGGTTTGAATATCGCATAAATATCAGTCCATATTAAAATGATAAAATATATGATTTTATTRTAAAATGAAATATAAAAAACGGAAAAAAATTGGAGTTGGGTAATTTCAACCTTATTTAATATTTTGTGGAAAGTTGAAAATATTAAGTTGGTATCCTTGTGCAATCCATTTTCCATGCCTGCATGCCAGTTTTATAACACTAAAAATCATATATTTGTTAGACAAAAAAATTCGTCRTCTAATACAACTCAAATACGTATCACCTTTTAATTATTATTATTATAGCCATAAAATACTCCATATTATCACAGCACTAGACTATATTGTGTAGACTCGATTGTTTATGGAAGTACCCATTGTTATAAATCATAAGAATAATAACATTAAATGCTTACCTCCTTGAACTCGGCACTCCAATACTAATCGACCGCCTTCCGGTACTGGACCGATGATGTGATGCGATCCTCCGTCGATTTCCGTTCCTACCCCGTTATAAGCGATTGTCATTTTATCGGGTGGTACTATACATTGACATAAAATTCAAATTAATTAGWCGCATGTTTCTGATATAAGATTAATATACAGGTATATTATGATGTCAGTGATTATTTATCAATCAAATATAAGCAGGCATATAATAGGTAAATAATATCTTAAAGATCTATGAAAAATGTTTGTATTATATAATAATGGTATAATAACACTAATTATGTATATTTATGTTTTAATATTCTAACACGTATTAATTCTTCAAATATATCCATTCGGTACCTATGTCCTATATACTATATGTTATCGATTACTAAACCAATAATATACTATTTAAGTACATTTAAAGTTTAGATTAGGGAAGTGATCAAGTGGAGAATCAAGACTATATAGCCTAATGCGCACTATTCTCCTATTTAAATACTTATAAATAATACACTATTTGCAAAATAACAGACATTTGTATATCAACGTTTAAAGATAAATATCCTGCTCCGATCAGTAGTGGAATTCAAGATGATATTGGTATGATTAAATAATGCTATAACGAACTGAATCCTATAAATTTTAGAATTAACTGAATCTTGGATTATTTTGAGGTACCTGAATAATAATTCAGTTCCATGAAATTTAAAACATAATATTGATTAAGTCCATGTTTAAATACTTTTGAGTCCCATCAAACTTACTTCCCACATTCGCAAACTTCAAACTGACTATAACAAAAAAATAATCTACAGGCATGGATAAAAATGTTTGTTTTAATGTTAGTTTTGATAAATTTGATCAATGTGTGTAATGTGTATAATTCAGATTCCCCTCGTAAAATAGAAAGTATAACATAATATCGGTAATAATTAGTATTGATGGTATAAATAAAATCCAAAATATTTGCAATATAAATGTAATGATATAACAGTTGATAAATTTCCAGTAATGAAAAAATAAAATAAACGTTTTAAGTATATAATTTTAAAAACTATATTTAGGTAATAGGTAGGTACTTAAAATATTATCAATATTTTTCGTTAATTTAGTTGATTTTTATTTAATGACATTAAAATTTAGATTTCAAACAAGATATTAGAATATTACCTATTGGTTTTCCCTGCAAAAATCATGTACACGTTTTAAACAACATATTCCATACAAACTTCTACCGATTTATAAAATAATATGGGCCCCGTAAAATTCCACACTGTCCCCCGATATGCAACGGACCGGCACTAAACTTAAATGTAACGGACCTTAAAATTAGTTATAAATAAACTTTTTTTTTCTCTAAAATAGGTAGGTAGCACAAAAGTCATCCGAGTAAACTAATGAGTGTCTGGTGTCAAAATAATGCGTTGTTTATAAGTTATACAGTTATATTTAAAAGGTACCTGTTAGTAGAAAAATATGAAAAATAAATAAATTCATATTCAGAAAATGAAATATCTCGTATTACCTTTATAGTTATTAGTATTAGTGTATCACTACCTACTTACTATAAATTACTTTTTGTAAGAGTATTGTTTATTTTAATTATTATGAATTGTTTAATCCTATTTCGTATAGGTACATTAAATAATTAAATAAATTGATGATTATAATTAATATAAATTAAAATCAGTCCAACCGAAATTTTTATCGATTTTTGTGTAAGCATATTATATTATGTACATACTACGATGGTGAGATCTGAAATAAAGTAAAATTACGTTTCCGATAAACTTTTATTCAGAAACTGGAATAATGACGTGAATACTTAAAAGGCAAACCTAACAGTATATAGCCTAGCCAAAGCCTACGCACACTAACAATAATATAAATCTACATAGGACATATATATTCTACTAACCTATGACTCGCAGGATTATTCGATAGTTTCGGGTAGGTGAATCACGAAAATCTACTCGGCACCTGTAAGCCCCTGCGTCCTGTTCTGTCACGTTGGTGACTTTGAGCGCTGCTTTGCTACTGTTGTCGTACAGGGCGCCGTTGTAGTCGTCCAACAGCAAAGTACGCTGTTTCGACCATTTTCCTCGTCCACTGTTAACGCCGCCGCCGAACACCACAAACGACGCCCTGGGACCGAATCCTCCGCTCTCCTCGTCCGAAGACCATTTCAACGCGTGAGCTAACGGTCTTCCACGCACGTCAAAACTATAACCGCGGTTAAGTTAATTAAACATTTTAATAAGTGGTTGGAGAGAAAAACGTTAGCGGTTTTGGGATACAGAAGGATTGTTTATTATACGCGCGGGACTTCTCATCGGATTCGGCGACGATGTTTTATTTCCATTCCGACTATAGACGCCATTTCGCATACGCTCTGTGCACAGCCATTTTCCACGATGACAAAATAAGACTTGTATATTATGTGAAAACCGATAAAAAATTTACGTTTAACGGGAATCTCATCGTATCTTTGACTTTCGAGAAGGCTATTTTATTATTTTTATTATTATTATTATTATTTATTTTTTTAAGTTCAACTATTATGTTATCGTTATGATACCATATTAATGCTTGTCATAGTTTAAATGTGAAATGTGAAATATTTTTAGAGCAGAATTGGTCTATTACTTAGGAACTTTAAATTTGGCACGATTTTAAAATCAATTAAATTGCTTGACCCACGCAGGGAAATATTATAGCTTGCAGTTATTATTGCAATCACAGTGGTCTACATGAAACATTTTAATATAACGTTTAATTAATTATAATTCAAGGAAAGTAGTTATTGCCATTAAATCATTTTTCGAATTTGGGTTTACTATTGAGATYAAAAGATAAAAATTAAAAATACATCTTCAAATCATATTATACTATGATAAAACTGCAATAAGTATAATTTTAATCTAAAACATTTAATTCTAATAATTGCAATATGTTATACGAATAAATTTAGAATAAAACTATTTGACTAAAAAAGAAGAATATGAAATGCATGATTATCGAATGGTATCCCGAATCATTAGCAATCATTATTCAAAAGTATATAGTAATGCCTACCTATTCAAAACCTGTCATTAGCTAATAACTAATTTATGGCCACAACTATAAGCTACGGTTGTTACTCACAGATTGAAAACCGTTGCAGGTCTGTATCATAGATTAAATAACATAACAGCTTTTAGGAAACGCCAATTCAAACATATATATCACTCATTATTGTAATCGGATTTACCTCAGCCGCATAGTGGCAGCTAGGAGATGCGAGTATTTACTTATTTCTCATCTCCTCTTGTCACTATACGCCGATAGTAAGTCAAATCAAAATTTAAATAATGAGCAAAAATAATTGAATTGTTGTTGTCTATTCATAGTGTCATTTAGTCTATGCCTGTATTCAATATAGCGACGTGGGTCTCAAATTCTGAATCGGGTAGAAAACAACGCGCTAGAAATGCGTGCATAAAAGGAACCTTGACGACCGGACAGGGCTCACTGAAACGAAACGTCGTACCTCTATTTTCAGAAGGTCGCATTTTTAATGAAATAAAATACTCAGTTTTTTCGTTGGATAMATTTTCGAATAATATTTATACCTATCAAATTTTCATTTAAACTGCTGTTATATTACCTATACAGAGGTTTTCCTCCGGACCATATTTTCTTATTTTTTGATTTACTATTCCGGTGACGGATYGTCGTCGAATGGTGTTTGAACCACAGTACCATGTAAGCTCGGTCTTCGATCGTATTGGTCAAGTCCTTGGTATTTTCCTCTCCATCTCCAGTCAACGTGACTTTTGTTGGTTGTTTTGGCAAACCATCGTTATTACCACCRCCTATATCACACGGCAGCCAAGCCACAGAACCACGAACAGCAGTCACCGTTACTGTGCTCACTGTAATGAAAGTACATACATAATAAAATAAATAATATTTTAGTAAATATTATATAAATAGTCACATAATATATATATATATATATATATATATATACATATATATTGTACCAAAATTATATGTTTTTGATATGAACGGTTTGTCAGTTGTTTTATAAAATTTATATCGGAATAATAAAATTAAACAGTAAATACATAAATTTGCTTGACGCTTTAGTGCTATGATCATATATTATTATATACATATAGGTGGATACGAATTGTATTTCATATTAAACGGGAAAAACGACATTTTTCAGTGTGTTTGATAATCGAACCGGCTGTTGCACGTTTCAATAAGGAGATTTTTTTTTCTTAACTGCTGACAAACATTTTATTATTTGAAACTACTGTACGGCATATACGGTCTTTGTCGAAAAGGCTTACAAAATCTCAAGTTACTATTCTATTTTAGAGTTAAGGCATATCATTATATATCCATGGATATATATATATATATAAAGTGACTATAATATGGATACAATAAAATACAATGTAGGTATAGGACGCTGAATGCGTTTGGAGTTACATAATTATTCTACAACATAATTACTTAAAAAAACCATAAGTGAATTATAATGAAATACAAATATTAGGATATAGGTACACATAACCAACATATCCGTGTCAACATTCGCGGGTGATTGTCGGAATTTACCAACTGCAGTGAACGTTCACAATTGCAACAAATATAAATTATACTGACCTGTTAATAGACGAAAGTAATATTATGTTATTATATATTGCATAACAAATAATGTATAAATATATATATATTATATTTAAGTAATATTTGTATCGGCGTATGTAAATTATGTATTTATAAACGGATAAGCAGCATAGATAGATACATATAGGATGTGTTTTACATATTATATTTTGATTATGACTTTAAAATATGCTGCGAGGACACTCAACCCAACAAATCAGTCAAATTATATTACCGACCGCGTCTTCGGGATGAAAATATAATTATCATTAATGTAATGAAAATTACGAATATATTATAAAAGACAGTGTATGCGTAATCATTCGTCATTGTACGTCATCAGTGTATATATAATATTATATAACGCGCGGTGGTGGGTCGCACAATAGTAATAACAATAATAATATTATTATTATCCGGCAGCTGCTCACCTCATCACGCAAACATTTTAATAATTCGATTCTCGTCAACGAATTGAGTGTTTGTGTGTGTACAAATATTAATAATAATTCTATTATAATTATGACGGTATAGCAGACGACGAAGATCCCATTATTTTGTTAAAATTAAGGCGGGAGATATTATTATTATTATTAATCTCGGGTGAACGTCACGTAGGCAGCGGCGACGAAAATGAAAGAAAATGGACACGTCGCCGTAAACGTACACACACACGTATATATATTTATTAAACAACACACACGCACGTATATATATATTTATTAAACAACACACACGTATAGGGGTGTGTGTGTGGTCGATATCGTCGCCGTAGCGTAAACGATTTAGCACCCGCCGCCACACTCGCGATCGCTTTGATCAAATTGTTATTTTAGGCTCGGTGTGTGTGATGACGGGAGTGCGGTGGCGAACTACGACGACGGCGACGACGACAACGAAGTATAATACGTACCTACTGTGCGTGTGTGTCGGGCCGCCCGTTTACTGGGCAAAATAGCCTATAGAAAAAGCAATAAATAACGTCGGTCGGTGCCGAACAGTGGGCGGGCGGCGCGCTGTCGTATTTAAATTGGACATTACCTCCGACGAGAGTAGAAAAAAAAAGTGTTACCGAACGACGGCGGTGGCGTAAAATAAATAGTACAAAACTATTTTACATATACGCGGTGGCGGAAGTACGACGATAATAGGGTAGTACCAAGGGGTGGCGGATGTGTAGTTTAGTGGCTGGTGGATGAGGCGTTCCTAGAGTATACCTCGCGCCTTTCCGTCACCCTGCCCATCGCGGCTCGGGGACCCAACGACTTTGTGCCGCTCTGCGGGTAATGCGTGTGTGATTTGACATTGTCTCGTTTTTCTTCTGTGCGATGTCGTAGGTTAGGGGGGGAAGGATCGGAAAAAGGTGTACAAACGTATATAGGTGTATATATATATATATATATATATATGCACGTGAGATCGTGTGTGTGTGTTTGTGGAGATGACGACGACGCGGCGATTACGATAATAATAGTAGTATATATACGCATATAGTGGGTGTGTTTGTGTGGCGAAGGGGTGGTTGTAGTTGGTGGGTCTCGCGGGAGAGTATAGCAGTGCCGAGCTCGAGAAGGCGGCGGCGTGAAGGTTACGGTGGTGGTCGGGTAAAAATAGCGGAGCAAACCGTGATAACAATCGTCGCTGTTGGTCGTTGACGTTTATACTTTATATACAATAATATAATATATATATATATTATGTACCTATATATATGCGCACGTATATGTATTTTATATTTTTTTATGTATAAATGCATACATTATATTATGAATATATATGCATTTTATACAGCCACACCTGTAATCGAAAAATAACGGAGCTGCGGGTTGAGGGCGGAAAGATGC